GTGAGAGATGGCAGAACTACTACAACACACACCACACCAAACCACAACACACAACACTTAACGAAACACATCACACGACACCCAACACACAACACACAACACGACACACACCACACCACACACCACACAACACACCACACCACACAACACAACACAACACAACACAACACAACACAACACACAACACAACACACAACACGACACACAGCACACAACACAGCACACCGCACACCACACAACAAACAAAACACGACACACCACACACCACACACAACACACAACAAGACACGCAACACAACACAACACACAATACACAACACACACGACACAACACAACACACAACACAACACAACACAACACAACACAACACAACACAACACAACACAACACACAACACAACACACAACACGACACACAGCACACAACACAGCACACCGCACACCACACAACAAACAAAACACGACACACCACACACCACACACAACACACAACAAGACACGCAACACAACACAACACACAATACACAACACACACGACACAACACAACACACAACACAACACAACACAACACAACACAACACAACACAACACAACACAACACAACACACAACACAACACACAACAGAACACACAACAATACACACGAAAAACAACACACAACACACGACACAACACAACACACAACACACAAGTAACTCATCCCTCCCTCCTGTACTCACTGTCGTGCCCTCACACAACACACAACACACAACACAACACACGACACAACACAACACAACACACAACACAACACACAACACACGACACAACACAACACACAACACAACACAACACACAACACAACACACAACACAACACAACACAACACACGACACAGCACACAACACACAACACACAACACAACACAACACACAACACAACACACAGCACAACACACAACACAACACACAAGTAACTCATCCCTCCCTCCTGTACTCACTGTCGTGCCCTCACACAACACACAACACACGACACAACACACAACACAACACACATCACACAATACAACACACAACACACACCACAACACACAACACACACCACAACACAACACACGACACAACACACAACACAACACACAACACAACACAACACACAACACAACACAACACAACACATGACACAACACACAACAAAACACACAACACAACACAACACAACACAACACAACACACGACACAACACACGACACAACACAACACACAACACAACAGATATCACACAATACAACACACAACACACAACACACACCACAACACACAACACACACCACACACCACACCACACACCACAACACACACCACAACACAACACAACACACGACACAACACAACACAACACAACACAACACACAACACAACACAACACACGACACAACACACAACAAAACACACAACACAACACAACACAACACACGACACAACACACGACACAACACAACACACAACACAACAGATATCACACAATACAACACACAACACACAACACACACCACAACACACAACACACACCACACACCACACCACACACCACAACACACACCACAACACAACACAACACACGACACAACACAACACAACACAACACAACACACAACACAACACAACACACGACACAACACACAACAAAACACACAACACAACACAACACAACACACGACACAACACACGACACAACA